TGGGTGCGTGGCAGCAAGAAGCTCCAGTGCTCAGAACATGACAGCCCATTCTGTCACTTGGCAGACACACCCTGGGGGCTGTGGGAGAAGGAAGCTTCTCTGTGAGGTGGGCTCTGGAGGCAGGTGACAGTGGTACCAGGCTGCCCATGGAGTGGGGAGGGCCCTGATGACAGGTGGGCAAGTCCAGTCCCTACACTTGGGCCTGTGATGCAGGAGAGACCTGTGGAAAGAAGTCTTCCCAAGTAGGATTCACAATCCTACTTGAGTAGGGAGCAGCACCTAGGTAGATGGCACCACAGAGCCATCCAGAGAAGACTCATGCCCAAACTCAGGGCCCTCCCCAAATCCAAGAAACAAAGCAACTCAGATGGGGCAGAACCAAAACAGTATCTGAATAAGTACACACTCCAAAGGCCCAAGGAAAATGCATTTCTGTGTGACCCTGTATCCAGTCTTCACTAACAAATAAATATGTGCAAGGCAACCATCTCCCCTGGGAAGACAGAATCACTGTGAAGACACAGAAGGCCAAGGTCACATAATATCCTTATCTTCAACCTCAACCAAAAAACACACCTATCATTCCAGCCCTACACATTAACATACAGCATTCAGAACATCACTGTAGAGACTGAAGACAAGTTACTATTTACCAAGAATTCCAAATACAGAGTTTAGAAAAATGACTTTAAAGTCTGAGTCTAGAAAGAGGGTTTATTAGCAGGCCATCCCAATTGCCTTTCAGACTAGCTGCCTGTGCAACCTGCCTCAGCCTGAATTTGGCTTCACCATGGCATACAATGTAGTGAGACCAATACACCCACCAAGACCATCCTAGTAGGTGAGAAGCAGTCTGTCACACAAGATCTCAGAAAAGAACCAAATTTCTAGATGTCTCGGGCAAAATGTTAACACACTACAATAGAAGGCTCTGTCCAGACTTAGTGCAGAGATGTACCTGAGCAGGGAGCCATGCTCCACCCACTTACTGCAGGAATCTTTTAATATAACAAGTGCTACCCAGCTCAGGCCCATAGGGACCTGGGAAAGGCTGGAATGCAAACACATGGCATGGACACGGTGTCTGTCTCACCGTGGGCAACCTGTGGAGGCAGTTTCAAAGAGTATAGCCCATAACTGGCTCTTGCTGGACCAGAATGAAAGCACTATCCATGCATGTACCCCAAAGTCTCAAATTATCAGGCTGAACTGCTGAGCAGAAGTCACATGAGAGCTCCCGGTCCACACCACAATCATCTGAGGTCTGGAAACACATCCTGGAACATGTTCTTGTTTGCTCAGGTTGCTGTCACTGAAGGTCCTGCAGGTTGATAGTGCTTCCTGGTGCCTGCACACTTTCCAGCCCAGCAGACCCTCCGGGTGATGGAAGCACTTCCTGCAAAACCAAGCAGAAAAGTGAAGAGGGGTGGGGTAGGAAGAGAAGGGAAAGGCACAGGAAAGACTTATCCCATACTTTGTCCCTTCAAAGAACATTCTTTTAACCCCAGCACAAGGCAGAGACAAGCATCTCTGTGAGTTCCAGGCCAGCTAGTCAGGGCTACATAGTGAGACCCTGCCTCAAAAACAAAACAAAACCAAACCCAAAATACTCAAAACAACAACAACAACAAAATGTGAACTCAGAACCATTATGCTTTCCCAGATTTTTTTTCTAGGCTTACTGATGGGTCCATATATATTCAAGCACCCATGTACATTCCTGTAAAACAAAACAAAAACTAAAAAATCGAGATAATATCTGCTTATAGCCCGCAGGCAGTAGGAGGCCTGTGCAGAGGGATGGCCATGGGTGGTACCCATCACTTTCCTGCTAGAATCCAGCACTCACTCCTACTTTGGTCTTGTAGGCTCCAAGCTACTTCCCTCCTTTATTGCCTCTTGTTTTCTTCCCCACTACCCCATATCTTCTTCCTTCCTTTTCTGTGCTTTTTAGAGACAAATTCTTGCTCTGTGGCTCAAGTGGCTTCAAATGTGCAGTTCTCCAACCCTTGTCTCCTGGTTAATGGGTATCACCTATGTCTATCACGTCTGGCTCAGATTTCCTTTCTTTAGGGATAGTGTTCTGAGGGGCTTAGAACAGTACAAATGACATTTCTGAGGAAGGTCGGCAGCCTGAAAAGTGACTTTCATTCAGACCTAGAGTTGCACTGGTGGCTGCCCACTCTCAGCTTAACCACCCACCTACTTAGCACAGCTAGTGAATGTATTTAGGTGCATCTCACTCATGGGAAAGTTAGAACTGGAGTGTGCAGTTTCACCTGTTCCACAAACAGATACTGCATTGTCAACCAAGCCTTATTTGAAGCTGTGACCCCATCTTTTCAAAAAAAAGTTCAAGGTGGCTGGACTTGACCAGAACCCAATGCATTTCCAGGGCAAGTCTATGGCAGCTGCTAACCCACGCTATAGCCTCTTGACATGGGAAACCTGTCCATCCTGGGATGGATGCATTCTACTGATAAGAGCAAGAACTGTAGGCACCCAGACCTGGAGGATGTAGACAGGCAGATCCACGGTGAAGTAGGGGTGGAAGGCAGAGCGCTGCGGGCTGAGGGCCAGTGGCAAGCCTCCTTCACCTGAGGGGTCATCCTGGGGAGGCAACATCAAGAACTATCACACACTGGTAATCAGCAAGCAGAAGCACTGGTCCCTCCATTGCTCTCACTTTGAATCCAGTCCAAAGTTCAGTTTAGTCTGGAATCGTCTGCTGCCTGACTCCCTATGTTTATTATTTATTTCAACACTTAAAAACTGTCCCCTGCCCCAACAGTACCGCTCCTCCTATAGTGTATTAAATAAATTCTGTGTGGACGCCCTGGTACTTTCTCAAGCCCACGGGAAGGCCTTCTCTCTGTTCCCATCTTACCTATGGGCCAAACAGAGGCCTGAAAGCAGACGCCCCAAGATGAGGCTGCCAGGTCTCCAGAAGCAAGTCAAGAAAGAGTGGTTTTGCCTTCTCATATGCACATTTAATTGTTGTGCTGTGGGCTGCATTCCTGCCACCCGGCTCCTGGCCGCCTGGCTAGCTTATGCCCCGAAATAACAACACACAAACTGTATTCTTTTAAACACTGCTTGGCCCATTAGCTCTAGCCCTTACTGGCTAATTCTCATATCCCGATCAACCCATCTCTAATAATCTTTGTAGCACCAGTCTTACCGGGAAAGATTTAGCATGTCTGACCTGGCAGCTTGTTTCATCGCGTCTGCCCTGGGGAGCGGCATGGCGTCTCTGACCTTACTTTCCTTTTTTTCCAGCATTTTATTTTGTCTACTCCATCCACCTAAAGGCTGGCCTATCAAATGGGCCAAGGCAGTTTCTTTATTAGCCATTGACCTTTCTCCATCATTTAATTACAGCTTCCTACCACCCCAAAACTGAGCACTCTGTTCTTAAGCACTCCATCCTCCCACTTCCCCAAGGACCTTCTAAGTGCCATTTCCATCTCTGACAACAAAACTGAAGCTGAGGGCCAATTAGCTGTCAAAAGACAGGTGAAAGAGTTATACCCAGGCACACACACTTTCCAGAGGGCTCGTTTTCTGCCTGTGGTGGCACTTTTCTTACAACCTCTTCACCCTATACCCCGAGCCCTGGGAGCGCCTTCTGCAAACTGACCTGCACACTGCTGCTATACTACTTTGGGACAAGCCTCCCACTCTTTTCGCTGTCCCTATCTCTAGGAGTCCTTGATCTCTCCCACAGTTCCAAGCTGTTCTACCATTGGGTCATACTAGGAGGGAGGAGCATGATTTTCAGCTCATTTCTCTACACAAGTCCAAGTCTCTGCCCACTAAACCCTCACATGCTTCTTTTTTGGTCTAGAACCCTTTCATTGCCTCTTTCCCCAGGCCACTCTTTGCCACCCATCCCCCTGTAGGCTCTTTACAGCCTCCTACCCCTGGTCCCACCTCTTTCCTTCATGGTTCTCTCCCAGATGGACCTTGCCTGTCTCTAAGCTCTCCAAAGTAACAGGAACAGCTCCACCCTCAGTCTCTGACAACTAGATTTGCACTGGACTACTGGAGTTTCATCTACAACTCTAAGTGGTGTGCTCCATGAAGGTGTGTGCGATTGAGTTAGAATATAGCCAGATCTCTCAGCTTCCAAACCTCTTCCTTCCCCATTCTACCTCCTCAGAGGTCATCCTGGTAGTGCAGGTATGTATGGGGCTGCTGCGTGACTTGGCAGTGAGCTCCCATAGATGGCTGTCAAATAAAGGTCTGTTGAGCCCCCAAAGAGGTGACTGAGCCCTATCTTCAGTGACCAACGAGAAAGCAGAAAAATCAAAAAGGCCCTACCACTTTCACATGAAAGCCTGTACCAGCTGCTCTGCAGGCAGTGGTGTCCAGAAGCATGGCCAGAGCAGTCTAAAGAGTTTATAGGAGAGTCTGGGTAGAGGTGGGGCAACATGAATACAAGCAGCTGTGAGGCTTATATATGGCCAGCTTGGGCATTCTCAGATGCCTCCAGTCTGCATAAAATGGTCCCAAGCAGACCTTGGCAAGACAGAGGCACAAGCAATTACACCTCCAAGAGATGTGGGGTAGATGGACCAGGTTGAGGGGACTAGACACAGGGTAATACAGTGCCACAAACCTGATACGTCAGTCCTAACAAAGGCAAGGGCTTGCACAGATGCAGTGAGACAGGCTGGGAAGAAGAGAGAGGCTGGGATTATTAAGATGGCTGGGACAGGACACAGGACCTGGAGCAGTTTACTGAAAGGACAGCGGCCACCCCTCCACCATCCTTCCCCTGCAGACCTCAGCATTCACGTGGGTGGTTCCTACCTGCAGAACAGGGATCTGGACACATTGTAGACCAGCTGCAGGGGCTGGTGCTGGCAGATTTCCATTGGGTACCATGAGGTTTCCACAGAAACAGCTGTGCTGACCTGAGTGGACATGAGGATGGTTGGCCATGCCGTCTTTCATTTTCCCATGAGCAGTCTGAGATGTTCCTAAAACCAAGCAGATAAAAACAGCACATCTAACAATGCTTCCCTGGCTGGTCTCTGGCCCTGACTGAGGATTTTTGAGGAAGAAGCTTCATGGTTCCCATCATCCATACAGTTTCACTGACTTGAACATTGTTCCAAAGGAATTTTCATGAGGCAAGAGGTAAACAGACAAACCCACCAGATTTTAATGGAAAACTTACCAAACCTATAATAATTATTTTGCCTGACAGAACCTGAATCTAGGTGCTCCTTCTCTGAAGGCCATGTCCCTAAACTCCCACAGCTCCTGGAAGGTAGAAAACTCAAAAGCTTTTGCACTCTGACACAAAGGTGTGCCATGGAAGCTGGTTTTGCCACCCAGCAGGCCTTCTAGTTGCAGCAAGACTTGTTTCTTTTTCTTTTTTAAACATGGAGGTTGGGCAGTGGTGGCAAGCCTTTAATCTTAGCAATTGGGAGACAGAGGCAGGCAGATCTCTGTAAGTTTGAGGCCAGCCTGGTAAACAAAGTGAGTTCCAGCACAGCTAGAGTTGTTACACAGAGAAACCATAGCTTGAAAAACCAAACCAAACCAAACCAAACTAAAAAAATCCATAGCCCTCGTCAAGGCACACAACTCCTACGGACCTGCTTACCTCACTCCTGAAGGTCACCAGCACCTTGTGGTGTCCTGAGTGTGTTGTACTCATGTTTGTGGCTGGTATGATACCTGGGACTTCCCTTTGCTTTTCTCACAGCCTGCTTTCTTGGGCGAGGTGAGGGCGCTAAGGAACAATTTCTTTTTCTTTTTTTTTTTTAGGGTGGTAATATTCTTTTTTTTAATCACTCCCATTTGGTCTTATACAGGATTGACTGGGACATTAGCCAAAGGAAATGAAGAAATTGATAAAATATTAATAGAAAATATTTTATACATTTCAGAATTTAATAAAAACATCATGTTAATAGTAAAAAGGCTTAAAGTAAAAATTTTCTATTACCTGGCGATAGCTAAAGAAAGTGTAAAAAGTTATCCTACTTGTTCTTTTTAATATAATTTTTTGAGCTCACCAAGGCCAGCTGGACTGCGACTGAAACAGCATGGGATAAAACCGGACTCTCTGAATATGGCGGACAATGAGGGCTGCTGAGAAGCCAAGGTCAATGGCACTGGGTTTTGATCCTATTTCATGTTCTGGCTTTGTGGGAGCCTAGCCAGTTTGGATGTTCACCTTCCTAGACCAGGATGGAGCGGGGAGGACTTTGAACTTTCCACAGGGCAGGGAACCCTGACTGCCCTTCAGACTGGAGAGGGAGGGGGAGAGGAGTGGGAGGAGGGGGAGACGAAAGGGAGGAGGGGGAGGGAAAGGGAGGCGGGGAGGAGGCGGAAATTTTTTTTTTCAAGGAACAATTTCTTAGAGTGCAAATATTGACTAGGTTGATGGACCAGGTGAGGAGAGCCCATGTTGTAAGCAGAGACTAAGCTCTCCTCATTGCAGGAAGAGTGGTTCCACTACAGTTTCAACTCATCTGCCAGAGTCTCTGCCAAAATCCCGGGTTTATGCAGTTTTCCTACCTAAGTGCTCCCTCTGTTCATAGCAGATCAGGGTTGGGATTGAGTCTGTCAAAGCAAGAAGCTTCCAGTCACTGCTTCTTGAACATCTATACTATCTTACTCAGCTCTAGAACTATACACACATGAACTTTTATGCTTTTAAATTTCGTATTAACCCAGCATGCTTCTCTAGCATAAAAATAAGGACATAGCTAGTGTGTGCCATGTGTGTGTGTGTGTGTGTGTGTGTGTGTGTGTGTGTGTGTATTCTACACTGCATGTCCTAAGGTTTGCCTGGCTGTTTTTCAGTGTAGCTGTTGCAAGGATAAGAGTGTAAGGAATTCATGTTTCCAGAATATTCAATCCCAGTCATGCTGGACACCCACCTTGTTAAGCCAGGTGCTCACAGTGGTTTATCCTTTCCTTTGCCAACCTATATGACTTCCTATTTATCCTTCCCAGTGAACTTAAAACTGACAGGTGAATTATTAACTATTTGGTTGTTAGAATTTGAGTTTTTTTAAAAAAGAAAATGAGCAAAATAAGCCAATAATATGACTTGAAAGTTTTCTGCCAAAAATTTGGCAGACCTTACCCTGCCTGTCCTTGTCACTTGTGGCCCTGGAATGGCTTATTTTTGTTTTGTCATTACCATCTACTTTTCTCCACTATCTTCTTTCCTGTTCAACAGAAAAGCAATGAGCTGAGTGACCCATCATAGTGCCACTCTTTCCCACAGGTCTCTTTAGAGTATTCATAATTTGTGCTGAGGCCTTTCCAAGATCAATGATATCATCATGATAAGCTATCACTATGTTCCTCTTCACCAACCTCTGTAAACCTCCCATCAGAGAGTCAAATACTGCCACGAAGTTGTTTTGATGTCTTTCCTAGATTCTCAGGGAATTGTCTTTGGCTGCTCTCTAATAAAAATGGTGATGGCTTCCCAGCACTAGGGAGTCAGAGGCAGGTAGAGCTCTGTGAGTTCAAGGCCAGCCTGGTCTACAAGAGCTAGTTCCAGGACAGACTACAAAAGCTACAGAGAAACCCTGTTTCAAACAAACAAACAAACAAACAAACTGGCGATGGCCACTATTCTTAGGGGGACATCTTGGGCTCTCAGTTAATTAAGGCCTGAAAGACTGTGACAGTTACTGATTGATTGTAGAGACACCATGGTTTTCCGTTCTTTGACATGGCCAACAATGCTGGCAGGCTGCCTAACTAACCAGGAGCCCCTTGAAGCTCTAGGCAAGCCTTACCCACTCCTTACAGTCCACTTCAACCGAGGGAGGGCAGACATAGCACATGGCCAATGGGTTTGGGTAATCCTGGGACCAGTCTGCCTTAGATTCTAGTCCTGGTATTGATCCTCATTAGCTATTACTGCTTCATGCTCCAAGATCCTCATCCAGAAATGGAGATAACAGGACATATACCTTTCAGAGTTTTAGAGAGGACTAGGGTTGGCTAATAGACACAATACAATGACTCAGAACCAGGTCAGGTGCACAGAAAACCTTAGATACGACAACTCTGTCAGGTTTTAATATGAAGGGTATTTTATACATACACTAAATATAACTATTTGAAATGTGTTCCATGGCTAGTGATCTGTGTATGTTTTATTACTCATTTAGCAAATATTATCTACATCTTCATCATGTGATACTTCCCCCAGAGCTCCCAATGGATGGCTCTTAAACCTATCATCAAAATGCAGTGGTAGGTGACGGTGCTTCATACCACTAGACCCAGCATTTAAGATAGGATAGTTTGGGACCAGCCTGGGCTACATAATGAGTCCCTTTACAGTATACCCTGCTCCCACCACCCCAGCAGTATGGAGACAACAATGGTGACAAGGACAGAAGACTTTCAGCCTTAGAGATTACTACCCGGGCTCCCCTGGTAGCACCTGGAACCTGATCCTGAGATCAGAGAGATGAGGCTCAGGTGGGAGGGAACCAGACAGGCTGCTGTTGTGTGTCAGGAAATATCTCCCTTGTCTGTCTCTTTGTACTGTTCCTCTTCTAGACTCTGGTGACACCATTTTTCTTGGTCCCTTCTCTTTGGTAGGGGGTAGTCCCTTACTGCTACGGTCACTCTAGATGTTTGCCTCTCAATGACTAGCGCCACTGTGCTCAAGTGGCTGTCTGCAATGATGCCTTTAGTCGTGGTCAGGAGAATGAAAGAGCTCAGGCTCAGAACAGAGATGACCAGAGCCCACCCAAGATCATTTACAGACACAGCCTGTAGAGAGCAACCATTTAACAGTCCTCAAAGGCCAGTGCCTGAAAGAGCTTTACCAAACTTAACACACAGAGAAGAGAGGCTAGGCATAGCTGGAGCAGAGGCACCTGGCTAACAGACAAACCATGTTGTGACAATGTAAAGTCTATACTCCACTTTGGTTCCCCAAAGCCACCTCAACTATAGGCCTGCATGTTCTAGGTGTGTGTGTGTGTGTGTGTGTGTGTGTGTGTGTGTGTGTGTGTGTGGCCCATAAGGCGGGCCAAAGCTCCTGCAGCTAAATGACATTCCCATGAAATCCAAACCCAACTAGTGCTTTGCACTTAAACTTCCATGGAATTTTACAGATGTCATTAAATTCGCTCATAGAAAGAGAAGTGACAGCAATGTGACTCCTGGGCTGACCGCAAACCTCTTCCTTCAAGGAGTCCCTTCTTCATTCATGATGGCAGCCAAAGGAAACCTGTGATACACATGGCCAAAGATATTTGTTTTAAAGTGAAAAGATTACAATGAGGGTAAGATCACTGACTCAAGCCTCAACTCAGCCACCAACTCACTCGGGCATTTCAGCCACATGCACATGGCACAGCCACATAGCTCTCTGGCTATGACTAGGCTTTGCTGGGACGAGTAGGTCACTCCATGGCTACCAAAGCAATTGAGTGGAAAGCACATGCCTACCCTGGCTTCTTTCTCCTGCTTCTCTGGAAAGGGAATCACACATCTCTGTGTACTAATGACACCAGAGAGCTTGGGAAAGCTTCACAAGCCACTCAGAAGAAATGCCTACTCTACTGCTTGCTATTTTAATGTGACAGTTTTAATTTCAGTTTTTAAAATTACAAAATTTATGTATTCTCAAATACAGAAAGTAGAAATGACCACAGTAAAAGATTCACAATCTTCACACCCAGTGTTGGGTGAGACTATCCATGAATGGGCATGTCTTACCTAACTTCTGTTTCTATGTAAGTATATACACAGATGTCTATCCATACACCCATCGTTCTTATAGACTGACTCACTAAAACATTCACAAAGTGTACGGTTTTGTTGTCATACATCTGAGTTGTAAATATTCTCTTATCAAAAATTTTGGCAGAATAGCAGCTTGCAGATGGGTCCTTTACACGGACTCCCGGTATCTTCATAAGCCAGAGAGTAAGGTGCAGCTGCACATGTAATCATCACCCAGGTCATCTTCAGGAGGGCCTCCTTGGATGCCTATGCAGCCACGCTGGCAGTCTTCTGCAAACACTTGTTCATGGTAGTGCTCATCTGCCTGCCACCTTGAGTTCTCATCAGATGTGGCTCTGGTCAAATGTGCTGACAAGATGTGTTTACCATGCCTCTGGTGCCTGGGGTCTCCTGCCAGCACATGTGTAACATGTGAAGACTTGTCTCGCCTGCCAAGGTGACTGTGGGACCAAATGGGTCCTTCTGTTACAGCAGGTAGAGCAGAGTGCAGTAAAGTGCTGGCTGTTGTTACAGCGTTTTCAAAAGCCCCAAACCCTCTGAAATCCACAAAGGGTAGCATTCGATTGTTAGAAGTACACAGGGTCACCTCTGCCACATGCAAGGATGCACCAGGCCCTGTTTCTGTGTCCGGAGCTCCGGTTTGTGACTCTACCCATGATACGCCATCATTCTTCTTCTGCTGGGCTATTGTGGTAGACATGTGACAGACGTGAGCATTTAGTGTAGTCTCTAGACATCCCCTTGCTTTCTTACCTCATTCTGTCCTCAAGCCTCCTTGGACTTCCAAGTGAGAGTGTCACCACCCTGTGGGATAAGTGTCAGGCCTGTAACACTCCTTTTCCTCACACCCAGTTTTAGGGGCCCCTACTTCTAGACAGGCCCCAACTCCCTCTCACTGTTTGGCCACCACTGACCCCTAGACACGTTGGCTTCAGCTGGATGGCCACAGAAATCCCTAGACATTCTTGTTTCCTTCCATGCATGACATCTGTTTATTGTCAAAAGAGCAGGTGGAATGGCCTTTTAAGACATCATGTCCCTTTTCTACTGATTCTTGCAGTGAAGACCAGAGATGTGATTATGGCTTATAAGGGGTACAGCTGGGTCACCTTAGTGCCTCCACTTTAGCTCTGCCTTGCTAGTCTCTAGTGAGGTCAGCCTGACTTCTCTTTGGACAGGCCAACCACACTGCAGTTTCAGGCCCTCCCTAGATTGTCTGCCACTGTTTCCATCCCTGTGGCACCTTCTCATCTCCAGGTTTTATCTTTTCTGATGCCCCTGTCTCCCCTTCTGAGAAGTGAAGTTCTTCTCATCCCTTCCTGGTTCTATCTTCACTAATTTCATCATTTGATTTACCCAGCCTTTTCTCATCAGGTACTTCCATTCCACTCAATGGATTGGGTATCCACTGTTCACCTTTCCCTGGTGTACTGGAGGGAAGAAATTACACCACCAGGGAACAACCCATCTCTGCCTTTCAGCTAACTTCTCTTGTCTTCTCCATGTAGGAGAATACCTGCCTGCTTGTGAAATTTCCTCCTGCAGGGCTGCTGTGACCCTGCAACCACATTTCTTCACTGCTAACTGCTGCCCTTTAGAGAACTCCAGATGGCAGACATTCTTTAACTGGACATAAAATTATCTCCTTTTGCTAATTTTTAGCTGAATCTCTTGGGCTTTTCAACAATGAAGTCGTCTATAAATTATCAATCTCCTCCAAAAAATCTACCTTAGTCCTATTTTTGGTTTATTTTCAAGGCAAAACCCTTCAGAAGAACATAAACACCTATGGCAAGAATAGGAATAAAAGCTAGGCAGTGGTGGTGTGCGCCTTTAATCCCAGCACTTGGGAGTCAGAGGCAGGTGAATCTCTGTGAATTTGAGGCCAGTCTGGGCTACAGAGCTAGTTCTAGAACAGGTTCCAAAGTTAGAGAAACCCTGTCTTGAAAAACAAAAACAAAAGAGTAAGAATAGGAGTGACTCCCAAATGACCTGGGCACACCTGTGCCCTTGAAGCACAGCACTGAGTAGGTGCTGCTAGTCTCAAACTCACCAGGTAGCTGAGGACAACCTTTTTTTTTTGGTTTTTCGAGATAGGGTTTCTCTGTAGCTTTACTAGCTCTTGTAGACCAGGCTGGCCTCAAACTCCCAGAGATTCGCCTGCCTCTGCCTCCCGAGTGCTGGGATTAAAGGCGTGCGCCACCACTGCCTGGCCTGAGGACAACTTTGAACCTGTCCCCACTTGAGTACTGGTTATGACAGATGTGTGACACCAGTCAGCAGAAATCATCATGAAATTTCTATTTTCACCAGTGATGCCTATTAATTTTTTAAGGAATTCAATTTAAGATCTGTTGAGGGCTGGAGAGATGGCTCAGTGGCTAGGAGTGCTTGCTATACAGCACTCAGGTCCAAGTTTGCATCCCCAGAGCCAACATCAACAAGCTGGGCATGGCTGAACATGCCTGTAACCCTAGAAGTGACAGGAGGGGAAGGCACAGAAACAGAATTGCTGGGCCTAGCAAGAAGACAAGAGGGATAGCTCCAGGTTGTGAGAGGCTCATCTCAAGGAAATAAGGGAGTGAAAAGTGTGGGATTGCTGATGTTCCCTCCTCTAGTCATGCACAAACATACCTGTTGAGAAAACAGTAGGGCTCTGATTATGATCGACTCAGAGTTTCCAATCCCTGTTTAGTCAGAATATAGTAAATACAAGATGTTCTGGATGCTGTTTAGAACACTTTACCTATTATTTTTAAGGAAGCACCTATGGCCAGTCTGTGTGGTTGACAGCCTTTGCTGTTCCTATCCTAGGTAGAGTACGGTATGTAGCCAATACACTGATGCATGTATCTTTTCCACATTATAGTGTTCACATTTGTCTTTTAGAATGCTGTGCTGTTGCAAGTACTATAATGTACTATCACAGTGTGTGTGATATGTTTATTTCTGTTTCCACTGAAAGTGCAACTTTTCTTTTGTTGTTTTTCCTTGATTCAAAGTCAGCAGAAATGGAAACCAATGGCCTGGATAGCTGTGTGCATTTAAGAACATGCTTTGTTCCACCCAAGTCAAAAGTTCCAACCTGAACAGATGGTTACACAGCACTGGTTGTTACACGCTTGTTTTCCACCTTGTACTTCCTTTTCTTAAGAGGTTGCCTGTGCACACATTTGTACCTATCTTCCAGCCACATCCCTGGAAGAGTCATCAGTAGCTTATACTCCAATTGTCCTACGGCTACAGTCTCATTTAATCTCCACAAGAGATCCAAACAAGTGTTGCTACTGTGCAAGGGTCAAACTAGATAACTCCATGGCTATCACTTTCTGTTGTTATTAGGCATTTTTTATTCTACTACCCAAAGGCTTAGCAGGCTTTATTTTGGCTTCCAAATAATTTTACTTTGTAATTTATACAAATGGTTAGAAAACAAAGCCCTGCCAAGATTTTTCCCTATGAAGATGTTAGTTGTAATTTTCTTCATCCCTTATTTCATGTACTATGTCTTCAAACATTGGGTACAGACTATATACAGTCTATCTAGTAAATCAACTTCATTAGCTGCATGAATAACTATCCTTCAGAGCCTCACTGTTCTGCTGTCTGCACACAAGCTACAAGAGTCATTTTCAATACTGCTAGGCCTTTACTCATTCTCTCCCTAGGTTTCTACCATATTTCATTTTGCACTTGAGATCTAAGCTTTCAGAATAAACGTTCTTTAACTCTGCTGTCATGTAACACATGGACAACAACCTCTCCATGGTAACGTTACCTCTGCTTTGGGGTTTGTTCTGAGTCACTGCTTGCCTTCCCATACATTTCCCTAAGGTTGTGCTTTGCTTAGATGTATTCAATCTTTATCTCCTGGCAATGCACTTAAGACTTGTTTATACTTTCAGAGTGACACAGAGGCCTTCGGGTTTTGGTCACACCGTGCCTCCTTTTCTTTCCCTGCTCTTAAGCCACTGCTCACTGCTTACTATGTGCAAGGACCTAAATTCAATCTCTAGTAATGACCTTCCTTCTCCAAAGGTATTTTTACATTGAGATTTCTTACACTGGCGATTCTGTTAGGAGCAGCTAAATGTCTGAGCTGAAGGTGCCAGCAGTGCTCTTGTATTACTCTCAGCAGCAGCAGCACACTCAGAGTAGCCTTGGATTTTAGACCATATATCTTCTGAGAATGCACACGCAGTGTGGGGCTAACATTTACAGTAATGATGTCTTTCTGTTTGTTAAAGCCACATACGGTGTAGTCATACTGGGCTTCTGTGCTCAGACTTAAATACAATTCATAATCTCTCATCACAATGTCAAAATGCAGATACCCCAGAAACCTAAATTTTCCCCTCAAACTTGTTGCCAAAATAGCAGCACAGCCCTATCTGATGAGAAGCCACTTAGTCTGAGCTGATCTCACATAGAGGAATGTTTCACTATAAATACCAATACAGTAACAAAGAATGTGAAATACTGTGTACATACCTTCAAAAAATCATAACATTCTGCATAGAGATCAATAAAAATGATATTTACAAATATTTCCTAGCATGGTCACTGAGAACTTAGGGCATATAGTTCACTAGCAGCCTGCACAGTCTTGGACCCACAATCTGGTTGTAAATACCAGTTTCCAGTAAATGAACCAGGGCTCTCTGGAGAACTGGTTGACTGCAGGCTGGGACAAGTACACGATATGAAATTCAGGATAGGTTACATTGGAAAGGCACAAGAATATACTTTCAGGAACTCCCAATGGGCAGAGCCAGACACTCAAGAGCCACAAAACCAATGCTAGCCATACTATTACCTGAGTCTATGCCGAGAGTGATAGAGTGCATCAGTGAGTGGGGAGGGAGAGCATGTATCTGTAGAAGAACCCTAATAACAAATCACCTGCACAACATCAGGGTCATGCTGTCACAGCCAAGACTCACTGTCTAGTGTTATCTGTGGAAAACATGTGAAACAGGATATCTTCTGCACATAGTAAACAATTAGCCTTGCTAAACTCCTGGAAGATGACCTAGGGGCCCTAGAATGTCCTGCCTGTAAGCATGTTTTTGCTTCCTGGATAGAAAGATAGCTCTGTAGTTAAAAGCATAGGCCGCTCTTTCAGAGGACCAAGTTTTGATTCCCAGTACCCATTTACTAGCTCATAATCACCTGCAACTCTAGTTCCAGGGGAATATAATGCCATCTTTTGATCTATAAGGGTACCAGGCACAGGCGTGATACATGAACATACATACAAGTAAGAACTAGCCTCACCCCCCCCCAATTAAAAACAAACAAACAAACAAAAAAGAATGCTATGTTTCCCTGGGGTACTTAAGCCATTTCAGAGAGCCAATGACAACAGTGTGATGTATACTATAGTCCTGGGTCACAAACTGCCAACCCTATCTCTGTAGGGGCTGGGCCTTACATAATTGAGTCTCAATAAGCGCTGTAGATAGCATGCTTCAGGTCATCAGTGCTGGAAAAAGTTCACTGTCCTCCTCACATAGACACTGTTCTTGGTCTGATCCTGTCATTTCACTGCATAACACTGACTGAGCACAAGGGCTTTCAGTGGGCTGTGAGCTCCAGAGAATGACCGAAGCTAAGAGTACAGTTGGGGGCACATAACTGCAAAATATCTATGTCATGTCAATACACTTATACCCAGCACAATGCACAAAGGCACATCACCTCCAGCTCTAAAAGACCTGAACCTCAGTCTAATCAAAAGAAGGCTTCAGGAAATGCACATGGAGAGTCTGCAGGCCAAGGAACTGTATTCTTCAAAAGCATCATGACAGGTAAGAAGGGCCGAGGCCCTGACATGCCTGGAGACCAGGAAGACCTGACAACAGAGCTCAGGTGGGAGTCTGCTTTGGCCCAGGCAGAGACAGGACCTGGGAAACACCAGCTGAGAGTGAACGTCCCATGATTGTGACAGCAAATGTTGTCAGTAACAGATTCACCAGGGCTACAGAGAGGATGCAAGGAGTGGCTGGGTGACATGTTACAGCTGTGGATGTGATGGTGTGTAGTGATGAGGTGCCCGGCTCCCGCACGGCTAGCTTAGCCCTGGAAATAACAACACAGAAACTGTATTCATTTAAACACTGCCTGGCCCATTAGTTCTAGCCTCTTACTGGCTAACTCTCACATCTTCATTAACCCATTTCTATTAATCTGTGTTTACCACAATGTCGTGGCTTACCGGGAAGATTCTAACCTACGTCCATATCTGGTTGGAGAGCCATGCATCTGCCACACTGCCTTCTTCCTCCCAACCTTCTGTTCTGTCTACTCCACCCACCTAAGGGCTGGCCTATCAAAAGGCCAAGGCAGTTTCTTTATTTAACCAATGAAAGTAACACATAGACAGAAGACCCTCCTCCATTATTGGTGACACTACTATTGTGCACGGTCACCTGAGGCAGAAAGGGTCTGTAAGTGTAAACTTACAGTACATATTAGGAGAGGCACAGGTGGCTTCAGGACTATTTAAAGGTGGGAATCTACATGGACTCCCTCCTGGCTGGTCACAGGATTTCAAGAGTGCTTTCTGAGAAAGATAGGTAGGTGGCAGAGATAATCCTTCACCCTGGCAGGGACATTTTGCTTCTTTTCACCCACAAAAGCTAGACACCTTGCAGATGCCACAGTTCTATTTCCCTTCAAAGTCTATAAAAAATTTAAAATTAAAATATATGAAATGCTGTGATTGTCACAGAACATGGCCAGAAACTACTCACAAAGACCTGACACAGACTTAAGCACCTCAACTTTCTCCTATCAACTATACCTCAAGGTGAAGAACAAGAAGCCACTCTTTAGACAAATGCCCTAGCTAATAAGAGAAAGGCAGAACTATTATCACCTTCTCTGCAGACCCCAGGGGTCTATTGGTGCTAGGTGCTATGAAACAGTTCAGGTGACTCCACAAAGAGCCCAGCACCACTTCAGTTTTACTAACTCTCCTCTCCCTAAAGGAATCAATCAGATCAAGCCCCAAGATGTAATAGCTAATTTAGGGAAACACATAACGAGAGGAAGTGCTCAATTACACCAGTGAGGCAAGCTGCAAAAGCCACCTGAGCAGGAAGGACAGACCAATCCACACAGCACTCCCCCAAACACGGGAGAGTAGGAGAGAGAGAAAGATGTTATGGCTCTAAACCAGAAGAGTAGCTGCCAAGTATAGCCTTGGACTCCTCTGTGGATTCTAATGGTAACAGGTGTCAGCAGTGGGTATGGCATTTTAGACAACTGAAACCCGCAACGTTTGCCAAATACCAATATTAAGGACTTTAAAAGTATCTTTGATTTTTAAAATGTCATACTGCAGTTGATAACCAAGTAATTAATCTCTGAAGATACTGCCCCAGCGTAGTGAGAGCAATAAATTTTGCACCTCAAGTCTAAAGCACTCCCTTTCCTCCAATTCCACAATTATGACTGGGTTCAATAAAGTCATCTGACTTTCTTAATGAATTTGGCTTGCATGTGATAATTTTTTTTTTCTACAGACCTCCATGTCCCCTTTTATTTTCCCTGCAAGTTTTACACTATAAGTTTTGGATTCTTGCGCCACAGAACTGTTCTTTCTAAGTCACAAGTGACACTGACAGGAACACTGGGAAACAGCTGTCTGAAGAAAACTATTATTTTAAATCAGAGCTATGGCATAAGAACAGAAAGACATAAAATTGCATCCAAGTAAGTTTAAGCAAATGTAAAGATAATGATGCCTGAGAACACCAAAGAGCTCTGCTGACATTAAACAGGATTCACCAGTCTCTGTTCAGCACTGTACCTTCAACCCATGTGCAGAAGGGGCAGCACTCAAGACCACAGACTTATGTGATACTCATGTGATACTGTTTTGTTTCGTTTCTCATTCAGGTGAGCTGCTGCTCTTAAAGGTTCAGGCTGATTCAACCAGAGACTTCTGTGCACAGGCTGCCGTCACACAGCTACCCTAAGAGAGACAATGGTTGTTCTATCCCATGGTTTCTACCACAGGACCAGGCCCCACTTAGCATCTAGCTACTTTCCTGCTTTCCTGACACCTGGCTAGCGTGACTCATTTATTCAGTAGCCTTCCAGAACTGACAATGTTTGAACCCTTCACTTTCCCAGAGCCTCTTTAGACCTGTCAAGCATGTTCAGACACGCTGGGGATTTGGTTATTACCTGTTTCTAAGTTTATATAAAGCTAAGAAATTGATAAAAGGGCATTTGAACATAGAAGACAAAGAACACAGAAACAACTGTTCTGTGTGCTTCCTCTGCCTGTGACTGTGACACAAGAAACCTTAGTCCCTTGCCCACCAGCACTGCAGCACACTCAGCCTCACCTTCATCGCTCCCAGTTCCTTTCTGCTTTTTTTTCTTGACTAGTTGAATGGCTCGGTAATCAGTTCTTGCTGAGCCCCCACTTTCCTGGGACCAAAGAAAAGTGTGTCAGTTGCTTGATCTAAACAGCAGAGGGAGGGTAGCAAGGGGACTAGAGAACCGTCCTAAGTCTGCCTTGGGAATGTATCAGAGCTCCAGGAATCAGTCACCAGCAAAGGCACGCGGGAAACCACACGTTTGTTTGTTAGCACAGGAAAATGCACACAGCTTCATCACCTGGAAAAGTGAAGGTCATTCCTCCAAAGTCTAAATGCACTAAAATATTTTAGAGAGAGGCTGCTAAGCGCTGTACACTGCTCTGCTCCCTAAAACAAGAGTCTTCTGACGCCAGGGTTATGTCACGGCAGCCCTGGGCAGTGTTGGCAGCAAGTGCCACACTGGCATATGCCAATATAGAAAGTGTCACTGAATTCAGCAAACTTATTGAAGTGGCAGAGAAACAGTATTCAAATAAGATATTTAAAAGTTGTAAACACTTAATAAGAAAAAGTTTCATTCTTAAACCTACAAGGAACAAAGGAAACCAGCCCTCCACAGCTCATGGTATATAGAAACCCATTCATAACATCATTCCCACTCAGAGAAGCAAGGAAGCCTACTGCCACACAGCTAGCAAGAGAACAAACAAGGGCAAGCCCAAGCTCTGCTGGTTCCTCCACCTCCACCCATCGCTGGCTCTGAGATACAGGAAGACACGGAGTGCCAGGGACAGGCTTCCCATGCACTGTGACCTGTGGTTATCTCCAGTCCCTGTCAAGTCACCTGCTGTTCTTAGCTATGGTAGCCTAAGCAGATGTTGGCAAGTGTAGCTCTGCCACCAGCAAGCCAGACACCAGCAGAGAGACAGGCTGTGCTCCTCTCACACTGAGAGAAATCCAATTCGGCTCCAGTAGGTTGGTTACTAGGTACCCTCATGCTTGTAGTAAGATGCATGAATCTTAACATGACAAATGTCAAAACAAAATTCAACCAGCATTACAAAGAAACCTGTATGATCATTTCCATCATAGACTGAGGAAAGTCAGGCTCTTTCTAGGAATCTTTAAGTTATTTTAAATTAGATTATATTAAAGGTATAATTGATATAAATATAGAATACAATAACTGTTCAGCATCAAAATCGGAGTATTGTTATAATCCTTCAAGAATGAAGGTTCAGGAACTACTGTTTAATTGTAATAAAAATATCCTGATGTAGCTTTTAAGTTCTCACTGAACTGTTAAGATGACTGATGCCAACATTGCTCTTCTAGGACTCGTCACTGTGTGAAAAGCATGAATGTGAACATTTCAATAGTAGGAAATGCCTCAAGTTTTCTCAAGAAAACTATAAAATCACAGAACTCAAAAGAACCATAGAAACAATGTAGCCCAAACCCCTTATTTTAGAAATAATTGAGGATTTAAGGCTCAGATAGGTTAAGTGATATGCACAAAGCTGTAAGAATGTCAATTTCAGAATCAAGGTCAAAGTCAGGCTTCCAGACTACTGCCCAGGCTCCATCTGTCCTTCTGCACACCAGAAAGAACCGTCTGCATAGACAGGATTCATCCCAAACATGATCCAAGGTGCATTAGGGGAGTGAGCTAGTGGTGGTGATGGAATATAGTGCTTCATACCAAGTAGAGGCTGTGGGTGCCAGCACTGAGCTCTGAGTCCTTTTGAGCCCCTGGCCTCTCTGCAGAGCTGGACAGCATAGACTGGGATGGCTCATGGCTTTCTTCTGGCCCCTGGACCACATCTGGGACAGGAGGCAAGTCTTGTTCCACCTTTATTGGAACCAGCAGATCTGGGACTCTGGTAGTTTCTTGGGCAGTGCCTGAAGAGGTTGGTGCAGTGTCAGGGACTGTCAAGTTATTGCTGGGAGTCAAAGCTGGTGGGTCTTGATCCAAGTTCCTCACAGGCAGAGCCACCAGACAGCCTACTGCTCCTGTGCTCATGGCCTGAGAATCATCTGTACTGAAACTGCCTGGCTGGAGAACTGTGGCTGATGTCCCAAGAACAAGAGGACTGTCTAAACTTGGAGGCATATCACTGTGGGTCACCAGAACCAGGGGGTCCATGGACCCTAAGGAGTTATTATTAGAAGGGAGATTCCCTCCCAGAGAGGAGCTCACAGAAGAGACATCAATGGTGAGGATCCCAGAGTTCAGGGCTTCATCTGACCCAGCTGTCGAACTGCCACTGTTAGCAGGTGTGTCAGAGAAAAGTGCTGCTAGATCTATGTTGGTGAGCTCGCTTTGGCTTGGGCTACTCAGTTCACTGCTGGGTGTGAGAGAACTTGGAGCTTCCAGCTGAGGTACAAGATCTGTGAAAGCAATGGATATTCCAGTTACTATTTGCCAGACTGAGAAATCTTCTTCCTGCTTGAGATACTAGCAGGCATCCCTTGAAGCAACACTGACTATCCTTTTGCTAGACCTTGCCACCTGGGTAAAGCAAGACCTAATGCTGGCATACAGTGAATAGCAGACACCAAAGGAAGGGCTGGCTTGACAACAGGTACTTCATCTCATACTTCATGTCCTCAATCTGTGTTTATGTTCCAAAGCCTGCCCTTCCTTCTATGCTGCAATAGCTAACCAAGGTTTCAATCCACCCCACAGCATGAAGCCTCTATAAGTCAGCTCTGATCCAAGTCTGGCTCTGGAGTTATTTCTGAAATTAGCTTCAGTCATCTCTGTAAAACTCCGTGCCCTGCTTCACATCTACTGTCATCCACAAGATGGTCTGAGTCCTCTGGGGTTAATCAAGGAGTAAAACCGGCTGTCTGGGCTGGGTTGAAAACCCAGGTTTAGGCAGATGCATGGAACTCAGAAAAGGGGACCTCTAGTCCGCCTCATTGCAGCCTCTGAACTGCCCCAGTGCCTGAAGCAGAGGAAGGGGATCTCAGCTGTTTCTTCCACATCAACTATAAGTTAACCACAAACGCATACTTTCTAAGCATGAAGGCCGCGCTCAGAGTGCATAATGCACTTTTGTTGTTGTTGTTTTTTGAGATTTGCCTGCTTCTGCCTCCTGAGTGCTGGGATTAAAGGCGAGTACCACCATGCATTTTTAACTCAAGCCTACAAAAGACGTCTAGTCTAGACATAAGAACAGAAACCAAAGTCAGAATCTCTCTTTAGTTTTTGTATCAGAAAGTTTCTTTACCAGTATCTTCATACTAATACAACATTCTGAGAGGAAATGGGAGTGATTTCTTCTAGAAAGTGAAATAGATGACCCATTTCTTTCTCAAAATTAAAAACAAGTCAACAAACATATATCTTGATGATTATCTTCTTTGTAGAGAGTGATTTTGATGGAAGATGCCCACTTATTCAAAAATTAACCTAACATTTTATTAATTCCATAAATGTCAACCATAAATGGACATACTAGAGAAAAATCACTCTAGTGCTAATGGTTAGGACTGTGCCTTTGGGTAGCAAATAGATCCCAGTAAAGAGCTGGCTTAAGCACTCCCTCTTGCTGTGACCTTGGCAAGTATTTCTGCAGCAGCAGGACAGTTGTGAAGTGAACTGAAACACAAGCTGGTGGTCATCACACTGCTCTGAGTTCCTGGTCTTCTACTGACAATGGGCAAGAGGAATGCTAGATGAGTCAGTTGATGTATACAATAAAAATGGGTCTGCTAACAGGGCTTCTCACCCATCCAGAGTTTAGGGAAAACTTGTGAGAGTAACCTGAATTAGCTAGCTTAGGGAAAGGGAGATACAGTTTAAGAAGTAATGTCATGCTGAGGCCTGTGGGGTCATACAGCACCAGTTCAGAGCTGGAGAGAAGGTTGAGACCCTCTGGGAGGAAAGGTGACACCAACTGGGAATAGGCTAAATGGTATTGTCTGCTTTTCAGATCACAGTGAGGGGGAACTGGTTAGAAACATGTATGACCTCCACCAATTACCATACCAACAGCAGAACCTACCTCATCCCAAAGAGAACTGTCTCTGTGAATGCATTAGAGAGATACAGACATTGTTGCCTCACCTACATTCTTGATGTCCTGCATACAATTGTAGATAAGACCTAGAGGGGCAAGTTTCTAAGTGCTGTACCACAGATGCTGAAGGTCAGGTCCTGCATGCTCAGCATCCTCCCCGCCACATGCCCTTGACCACTATCATGAGGTCTCTCATACCTCAGCCCATTCCTAAGACACAACTTTGCTCTGGGCTTGGAGGGTTTCCTGCCCACCTTTAGAACACAGTTCTCTGTGTAGGATCCGCTATCTCCTAAGACCAGGAGGAAGAGACAGGTCTCAGTGCTCAGGAACAGTGGACATGGTGAGACAGACTGAGAGGATGCAGTTACAGGGAAAAGCGTCCAGTTGCAGACAGGCTGATAGGAAGGACTTCACAGGCAAGGGCAAACCAAATACAAAGGGGCTGTGGTAAGATGCAAGTAGCAGGAGAGGAGAGAGTGCAAAAGTTCCATGGCTGTGTGGTAATCCACAGCTCCAAATTCATGGTTTATACATGACTGAGTGGTGAGAGGGAGAGGCATCATCCCTTTTCTCTCATGCTCAGGCGTGTACATTTTTGCAACTCTCAGGGGCCACAGTCACAAACCTTGGCGCCGGCTGTGCTGCCGCACCATGTGTGCCTTCATGCTGTGCTTAGAGGTGAAGAGTCGGTTGCAGGTGGACACTGGGCAGCGGCTTTTCGGAGCACCCACATCCTGCAGGTGTTTCTTAGAATGAATGTACAGACTGCTTCGAGCTGAGAACCTGGCACAGCACCCTGGAACAGAGAGGAAAACAAGAGTTACATCTGAGGATGATCAAGGATACTTCCTAACTACATTAAAATGATATGGACTGGTAAGACAGCTCAAAGGGGAGGTGTTTGCAGCCAAGTCTGATGACTTGAGTTTGATTTCCAGAACTCACATGAAGATGAAAGGAAGAAACCAACTCTACAAAGTTATCTTCTGACCTCCACATATGCACTGTGACCCACTGTTCCACATGTACCTCCCACACCCACAATTGCAATTAAGAATCATGTGTCAACTAGTTTTATGTCAACCTGATACAAGCAAGAATAATCTGAGAAGAGGGAACCACATGATAAAATACCTCCATAAAATCAGGCTATAGGTAAGCCTGTCAAGCATTTTTTTTTAAATTAGTGATTGATATGGGAGGGCCCAGACCATTGTGGGTGGTATTACTCTGGGTTGGTAGTCCTAGACGCTATATGAAAGCAGGATGAACAAGCCATGAGTAGCAAGCCAATAAGCAGCACTCCTCTGTGGCCTCTTCATCAGCTCCGACCTCCAGGTTTCTGCACAACTTGAGTTCTTTCCTTGGCTTCCTCTAATAGGCTGTGACTCAGTATATGTAAACCAAATAAACCCTTTTACCCTCAAGCTGCTTTTGGTTATGGTGTTTCATCACAGCAATAGTAAACCCTTAACTAAGACAGAAATTGGTATAAGCCAATGGGGAATTACAACTCAATCCATGCAGGATGACAAAGGGCTCAGATCTTTCAAGAATAAAGGTTTGGGTCACTTAAGGATAAAAAAATAAAACATTAAAACAACAACAAAAACAAGACCTGATGAGGTACTTGTTGGGGTGACGGAAATACAGAATGGGTAGCAGAAGAAGGTAGCAGTAACTACTGCCACGTGATCAGTTGCAAAACTGAGGATGATAATTGACATGTGTTTCTGTCACATTTTGTTAAGAATGTATTGTAAAGATATTTCGTTTTCTTTCCTAGATTTCTTTATCATGTTATATAACACAATTGAGGTGTTAGTGGTTATCATATGTAAGTTACAAGATACTAAAGAATGTCCCTTAAGGGACATTACCAGCTAAGATATATAATGTGTTAGCAGTTTTAGGAGTAATTATTGCCTGGTTCTTGATTTTATTTGGAAATGAAACCTCTTAATGACTTAAGGAGATATGATTGTGTACCAAGTTGACAAGGAGTGAATTTGTGATAGCTAACCTTGGTTGTCAGCTTCACTACATGTGGAACTAACTAAACACTTGTGAGGGATTTTTCTTGATCTGAGGTCAGAAGACCCACCATAAATCTGGGCCACATTTTCTGGTGGCAGCCTATATAAAAGGACATAGAATATGAAAGTTTTTGTCTTTTGCCTGCTTACCCTCACCATCCCTGGCAAGTTTGTCTATTCTGACGCCAAGGCATTCCTTCACTGGCATTAGAGACTTCTTTGGGATTCTAATGTATACTGATGACTAGCTGAGACATCCAGCCTTGTGGACTGAACGATTCTTGAACTTTACTTCAGGAGACAGTCACTGTTGGAACTAGCTGAACTATAGCCTGTAAGCCACTCTAATAAACCCCCTTTTAAAATCAATCAATCAATCAATCAATCTATCTGTCTATCTATGTATAGAGAGAGAAAAAGAGAAAGAGAGAGAGGGAGCCACTTCAGCAATTCTGTTCTAGAGAACCCCAACTAATATAAAGCATGACACTATGTTCCCAAGCACTGGCCTGTGACAAATGACATATACCAAATACCCTAGGAGGAGCCACGGGATAAAGGAAAAATTATAAAGGAATAAGCAGACCATGAACTAGTCAGTATAAGACATGTGACCAGATCAAACTCACTCCACTTCCATCCACTGCTCAGAGTTAAGTCAAAACAACTCCTCCAAAGTTTAGTTGCAAAAATGTATAATGACCTCTATTAAGCAATTACAAAAAAAAAAAAAAAAAGTAATGCTACAGTTCTAGGGATTGGAACTATCTCAACACGTGACCAAAAGGCAACCCAACCTATTTCATCTCTGTGCAGCTCAGAAACTGATCAAATGTCTCTAGGTCACAGGTACAAGTGGGGCTCAACTCACTTACACAGCAGATCTGGATTCAAATGCTGGAAGGCATACACATTTACGATTGATTACCTTACCTTCATCTCTTTCTGCCTGTCATGTTGGTGCTCTGCCCTTCATAGACCCAGAAAGGGGAGGCAGAGTTGAGGCTTGTGAGTTGGCTGAGCATGTAGGTATTAAGTTAGAATAAGAACAAGAACAAGATCAGTGCTGAAATAATGACTGCTGTAGAAACAGCTTCTGAAAAGACTGAGACACAGGTGCCTGGGCAAAGTGGGTGACTCTGCCCCTGGTGAGTGATGGGATGAGGCCTGGACTAGAAAGGTGTAAAAGTTCAGGGAGCTGCCCAGCTAAGGCTGTCTGCACGCAACCCTCATTTGCTCCATGGCTATGGACAAATTTCTTTTTTTTTTTTTTTAAATATTTTATTTATTTATCATGTATACAATATTCTGTCTGTGTGTATGCCTGCAGGCCAGAAGAGGGCACCAGACCTCATTACAGACGGTTGTGAGCCACCATGTGGTTGCTGGGAATTGAACTCAGGACCTTTGGAAGAGCAGGCAATGCCCTTAACCTCTGAGCCATCTCTCCAGCCCTATGGACAAATTTCTGGCCCTTTGCAGAGCAGCTTTTCCTTGTCTGTAAAATGAGATGCATGGGGTCAAGATAAGGAACAGACTTAGAGCTTGTTTAGAAACATGTTTGAAGTTTCATGTGAGAATGAAGTTAAGTCCCAAACTGCACAGAGATAGCCAGGGTCCTTCCTCTTATGGCTCGATTTTTCCTTAAAGAGCCCACTGGGAGGTTCTGGGCACTGGCACTGCCCACCACCTTGAGGATGGGCCCGATGCCACTCTCAACACAGGCCCTAGCTTCACTTAGTCCAGTAAGAAGGGGTTCTGGAGTCTGCACAACTCTGCTACTCTTCTCTCTGCTGAGGCTGGTTATCTTAATGCCTCAAAGCTCCTTGAGAACTTCAAAAACAAATGCTCTCTCTTTAATAGTGAACTTCTGCCCTTTCTTCTCCCACCAATCACCTCCAGAAAAGCTGTAAAAATAAGCAGTCCCCTGCCCATTGATCAGCAACCCTGCCTGAGTTACCCTACTAAAACTTGCCCACCAACACCAAATGACACTAGTGGGCCTCAGCATTCTGAGCTGGCCCTCTACAGACATCCTTCTGGCTTAGCACCCTGCCTGGAGCTCCCAGCAGGACAGCCTTTCCACTGTTCTACCACTGTATGTGGCTCTCCTCCCAGGCTTAAAATATAGGAAACAAAACTCCACCTAATAGCAATCACTACAATCATCAGAACTGACCAGTATCAATGCTTTTACAAGCTTTAAAAGTTTTAATTAGTTGAATCTCTGCAAGAACCTTATAAGGTTTTATTTAATTTATGGATAGGAAAAGAGGCACAGAGCTTAAGCTGCTAATCCCAGGACCTCTCTGAGCCAGACAAATGGCAGACTCAGGACTAGAATCCAGAATTCACACTTACTTTTCTTTCTTTCTTTCTTTCTTTCTTTCTTTCTTTCTTTCTTTCTTTCTTTCTTCCTTCCTTCCTTCCTTCCTTCCTTCCTTCCTTCCTTCTTTCTTTCTTTCTTTTTTTAAGACAGGGTTTTTCTGCAGCTTTGGAGCTTGTCCTGGAACTAGCTCTTATAAACCAGGCTGGTCTCGAACTCAGAGATCCACCTGCCTCTGCCTTCCGAGTGCTGAGATTTAAGGCATGCACCACCACCTGGCGAATTTACACTTTCAATTGCTTGAGAATTCCATTCATTTGCAAGGTTTATGCAAGGACCTGTATGCCACCTGCCTCACTTGTAGTCCAGCCTATTCTAAGCCAGCAGTAGACACAGAGTCTGCTGAGTACCTTAAGTCAAGCTGATGGTATAGTTTATCATTTTATGTACCATATGACCAAACCCTCTCCCCTCCCAATTTCAGTTGAGACACTGATCTCAACTACTGTCCCTCCCTCATCCAGGTCCCAATCATTACAGCATGCTCTGACTTCTGTCTTTGCTGTTGATGGGATTCTCTTCTTTTGAGCTGCTAGCCCCCAGCCCAGGGTGACTGTAGTGCCTCTCCACAGACCAGACTAGGCTTTGTCTCCAAGCGAACGGCTGTGAATTCTGTTTCCAACAGCCATCCTTTAATGTCTGGTTAGCTCTTCCTCCTTAAGCTGACCAGGACATTCACACTCCCTCAAGAGCAGTATGGATGAAGTATAGACATCTCAAAGCAGCTTATATGTTCCTATTTATCTGTCCACACTTACAGTTAGTATGCTGATAAGGAGAACTTGATCATGCCATTTGTATTATGTTCAGTATGCTGTAAGAACTGGTGCTGGCTTTAAGTGGTCTTTATTAATAGCCTTCTCCAGCTAAGATAACTAAAATCCACAGATTTAACTGAGGCCATCAATTTAGGGCCCATCTGATTTGTATGAACGGGTCATACAAATTTTTGGCAAATAAATTATACTTTAGCATTTTAAAGAAAAAAAGCCTGTGCTAGCTAGTTTTATACAAGTTAGAGTCTTTCTGAAAACGGAACTTTAATTGAGAAGAATGTCTCCGCATGATTGGTCTGTGGCTATATCTATGAGGTTTTTTTGATTTATGATTGACATGGCAGGGTCAAACTCACTGTGGGTGGTAATATTCCTTGGCCTGTGGTCCTTGGTGCTATAAGAAAACCGGCTGAGCAAGCCATGGAAGCAAGCCAATAACCAGAACTACCCCATGGCATCTACTTTAGCTTCGGCCGCCAGGTCCCTTCTTTGAGTTCCTGCCCTGATTTTCTTTGATGATGAACTGTAACATAGAAGTATAAGCTGAAACATACTCCAAGTTACTTTTGGTGATGGTTTTTTATCACAGCAATAGAAACCCTAACTAAGACAAAGCCTCAGCAATACTCTTATAAAAAAAAAAAAATCAGGCCAGGCGGTGGTGGCGCATGCCTTTAATCCCAGCATTCAGGAGGCAGAGGCAGGTAGATGTCTGTGAGTTTGAGGCCAACCTGTTCTGCAAGAGCTAGTTCCAGGACAGCTAGAACTGTTACACAAAGAAACCCTAGCTTGAAAAAAAAAGAAATCAGACAGACTTTATTTCATCCAGGTGCAATAAGACTAGTTGCTTGTCATTTAGTGAGCCCAAGCTATGTGCCAGACTTTATATAAAGAAGCATTCTTCTCCTCACTTCACCCATTCCTCATAATCACCAAGTTAAACAGGTAGTGGAACTAGAGCCTCAGACTGAGTGTCAGGGCAGAAGGCAAACCTGTACCTCTTCCAACACACTCCTAAGACGGTGTGCATGCACTTTCAACCAACCAAATAAATACAGTGCTGTGTGGGAGCCCACGTGTGACTCAGTTTCCATCTGGAGTCAATTCTGACTTAAAGAAGTCATTTGAGTTCAAGCTTGCCTGTTCTGCTTTTTCCAATAACCTTGAGGGCTGTGAGAGACTTTTGATTTAGCCTATGGCAAAGAGCATTTTGCCTATGAGAAAAGAACACTCTATCTAGTAGAAAGAACACTGCTGATGCTAAACCTCAGGAACATCATATAAGGCTGCTTCTGAGCAGCAAGTACAAGTCAGATAGGAGGCTGCTCACTCGAGGACAGGAATGGTTTTATGGTTAGATACTGACTGACTGTGCTGTGTTTTGTTCTGCTTTTGTATATAAGCAGGCTCTGAAATAAACTTGAAACTGGCCAGAGTAAGCTGGCAGTCCCCTGAATCTCTCCTGTGTTTTCTGTCTCAATAATTTCTCTCAGTCTAACATTTCTTTAGCCTCGGTGATCCCTCCTAGGCATACCCTGCTGATTTCTGTCAGAGTGGGCTCCATCAATGCTGTGACTGGCAATTATCTTAGTGCTTCTGCAACTCAAATTTACAGCTCAACATGAGTGTTGGTGTGGCACTTTGTGTACAGCTAAATCGACATTTTAAATGCTACCTTCCACAGGGCACTCGAATGGCTTTGTTCCCAGGTGGGTGATACTGTGGCCCTTCAGATGTTCTGCTCTAGTGAATGACTTGCCACAGCCTTCCACAGGGCAGGTGAACCTCCGGTCATCGTCATGTTTCCTGAAACAAAAATGAAGGAACAATTACTACTCACAAATTCACAGGAATGAGATTTTAGACTCAGAAACAGCATGCTCTCTCCATTCAGAACTATCAGTGCATTTCAGAATGTGCACACAGAGTTTGTTTGGCTGCCCCATAATCAGAAACTCAACTTTGATAATTAAGGTGGCCCATAGCCAGACACAGAACAATTAATGCTACAACAATCTAGGACTAGTTGAGTCCCAAAGGAGTGAATGCAGCAATCTAAATTGTTTAGAAGTATCTATGGTCTATGTGCTTTCCAAGCCACAGATGGCCAGAAGACAGAGAGACTGACAGACACAGAGATGGGGGGGGGGGGGGGGGGAGAAAGAGTGTGCCTGGCAACAGTAGGAAAGAATCCTCTTAAGTCAACTTAGAAAGTCCGTCTTTTTCTAAGTAATGTTTTTGCTCTGAGCACCTCAGATTCCAGTTATGCAAAGGAACATGGGCCACCCATTCCCTAAGTCTGAATAATACTAATCTTGGAGCTGTGACCAAGATGGAATGAAACAACATATTGAACATCACGGGTACACAGACCCCAGATGTCAATATCACTACCGAAAGTTTCTAAGAACATGAAAAAAAGTATATCTAAAACATCTAAGAGGAAAAAAAATGTAATTGTATGACAGTATGCTAAGTAAACCAATCTAAACCTAACAGGAAACAACTGCTATCAAGTAAGATTCTTAGTGCTTTCCTTACAGTTTTCTGATTTTCTACAACATTGACACTGAGCTCCATTTAAAATAGTCTGAAATCTGTAAGAGATTCACTCAAAGTGTTCTATGACACATACTTCATGTGCTTTCAGAACCTAAATAACAAAATGTAAGGTTTACCTTTTGTGCCTTAGAAGTTTGGACATACTAGTGAAGGTCCAGCCACAACTGTCTGAGTCACAAATAAATGGCCTTTCACCTTATAAAAGAAAAAAGTGACACAGTGTAACTATGAGCCCAATAGCCAGCGCAAAGCACGGGTCCCTGGTGCACCCTCTAGCTCATACCTGTATGACTTCGCAGGTGAATTTTCAGTCGACAGGCTTTGTCATACTGTTTATTGCATCCAGGAAAGGAGCAGGAAAAGAGCTCTTGTTCCCTGAAGTGGGCTCGGTTATGGGAAAACAGGGCACTCACTGTGATGAATGTCTTCTCACAGCCTGAATAAAGAAAACACAACTCAGCTCATAGGATGACAAAAGCACACAGGGCAGCTTACACTGTCCACAGCCTGGGGCACATTCACAATGAGCAGACAAAGACATGACTCGGAAACCATCTCTGCAAAGCCCTGCCCACCAATATTTAGCTTTCTAGAAGCTACAGTAGGGGTAGCACAAACAGGCCACTTGCTGCAGAGTTATGTGGAGATGGCACAAGTGATTAAGTGTCCTCCAAACACAGCCTTGGCCAGGCAGTTCTGTAGCCAATCTGCATAAACTATGTGTCTTCCACAAACTCAATTGGCAATGCTGTCTGAGTGAAACCCAAGAAATCAGCAGGACAAAAAGCACTAATGATCAAGAGCTGGTCTTGGACAGCTCTGCAGGGCTGCAACCATCCCACTAGCTAAGATTTTCTATCCCACTGGGGGATACTGCATCCTCCACACTTTTCAATTTCCTCCAGCCTCTGCAATGGGCAGCCCCACATCTTATCATCTGTTTTCTCTTTTTCTTTCATCCATTTCCTCAGGTTCTTGTCATATTCACCTCCATCCGCATAGACCTACCCAACCCCACCCTATTAACCCAAGCAACCTACACCTCAGCAATTCCTACATCAATACTTCTTTGACAGAAATATTCGGTGTTTAAACAGGGTGGAAAATAAAAAGCTGAAAGATGTTTAGGAGCTATCTTTGTTGAAGCTTTTCCTCAGAACCCTAAAATGCTATCACTATGGCTGTGAAGCACTGCACAACCCTGAATAAAAGTAGCAGCCCAGTGAATCTCTGCCCCATTCAAAAGTCCTCTTCCATACTTAGCTTCAATCTGTTCCCTTTGCTACATAGGATGCAACTGATTAGGCTAATCTGAACATTAGCATTCTCTGCCTTAGCAACAGCCCTCATCACCCCCAATCAATCGCCATGCTCTTTTATCCTGCATCTGTGATCTTTTACCTGAAGCCTCCCCACCACTCCCACCACCACTTCCTGGCTCATGTTGTTAAAAGAATCCTTCCTTGACTGGACACTTAATGGTGCTTCCCAGCCCCGCTCCCAGCTTCTAGGGAAACCCAACTGATCAGCCAACACAAAACCCTCAGTGGCACCTCATGCTTTTATGTGAATCCCTGTCCTTCACACAGTACAGCACACAGATTTTCAATAATACTGTATCAGATAGTCTGTGGGTACGTAAGAATACAATATCAGACTTTGTTGCAAACCCTACATATGAGCATACTCTATAATGCATTATTACTAGAACAGTGTGTATACATGTCCCAGAAACCAAGATGTCTGACAAAAATAAAGCATAGAAGACACAAAAAACATTTGTGCCACACACCTGATGGTGGCTGCAGAGGTTCACCCTGGTGAAGGAGCATCACTCTGTATAATACTGGGACGGACAAGGTATCCCTGGGGGCTCTGTGCCTGCTAATTCGTGGGCCTTTCTTTCAAAGACGCTGGAGAGGGTCCAGAGAAACACTAACCTGTACTGCCATCCTCTCAGTAATTTAAGGAGACATACTTGGCCTTATGAGTCTTGGATCTACTAGCATATTCTAATAAACTTGAGTAGATTGAGAAAAAGTTCCAACTCAATCAACTCTGAGAAGCAGTCATAGAGGATGCATCTTAACAAAGGATTTGTGGCCTCTGCCAGGGACAGCTGTGACTATGCTTGCCACTTCGCTGTAGGAACCCAAGGCTTCACATCTAACTACCTGGAAGGAACGTGAACACAAACACGGGAGTGTTTCTTTGCACGCTCCCCACTTAGATTTGGGCATCCCCAGGTAAACCCTGCCCAGACAGCGACACAGAGCTTGGTCCCTGGTCCCGACACCGGCTGGTTCCGCCCGCCCCCGCAGGTCCGCGGCTCGCGCTCACCGGGGAAATCACACTTGTAGGGGCGTTCGGGCTCGAAGTGGCTGCGCTGGTGGGAGCTGAGCTTGGCGTGTGTGGGGAAGCGCTCGGCGCACACCTCGCACTTGAACAGGCTCTCCTGTTCGTGGCCCTTCATGTGCGCCTTGAGGTTGTACACCGTGGTGAACTTCTTGCCGCAGCCCCCCACCGGGCAGCCAAAGGGCCGCAGCTTGTCGTGCGACTGCAGGTGTCGCTTCAGCTTGTAGGAGGTGGTGAAGGCCCAGCCGCAGCCATCCAGCGGGCACTTGAAGGGCCGGCGGCCCTGGAGGCTGCCGTGCGTCAGCAGGTGCACCTTCAACTGGTGCTTCTTGGCGAAAATCAGCGCGCACTGCGGCTCCGGGCAGCGGTAGGCTGGAGAGCCAGCGCCGGCGGCTACCGCTCCGCGGCGGACCACGGAAGCGCTCGAGGGTTCTGGGCCCGGGGTGGTCGCGGGGTGCAGGCTCGGGGCGACCGGCGCGGGCGCGGCGGCCAGCGTGAAGACGCCGCGGTCGAAGCGCACCAGGAGGTCCTGGTTGTGGATGGTGACGGTGCCCGCCAGAGCCGCGCCGGGGGCGGCGGCCGGGACCTGCTCCGGGGGACTCGCGCCGGGACCCGCCTCGGCTTCCCCCTGTCCGTGGGCGTCAGTCGCGCGCGGCACTTCCAGCAGTACCACGAAGGAGTCGCCGCCGTCCTCGGAGGGCTGCGGGCTCGGCCCCGACCCCGGGGCCTCCTCCTGACGCGGCCCGGGCCCGCCATCTTCCGGGCCCCTCAGTAGCAGCAGGCGGCGGCGCCCGGGGCCCGCACCGAAGGACGGCCCCGCGCCGCGGCGAAGTCGGCTTGGCCCACCGCCATGTTGGTCTCCCCGCGCGACCGGGGCGGCGAGCATGGCCGGGAGGTCCATCTTAGGCCCAGCTGAGGCCTCCGAGCCACAACCTCCCGAGAAGAGCCGCCCGGCCCTGCCAGGCATGCGCGCGACGCCAAGGGTCCGCCCCGCCACCCCTCAGGGAGTCTCTGTCAAAGCTCCGCGTAGAGTAAGGCCGAGTCGCATCTCGAGCTGCGCGTGCGCAAGAGCCGTGGGCGTGGCGCGCGAGGGCTGTCGGGACTGTAGTTACGAGGGCCCCGGGGGGTGGGACAGGGGGCGGGGCTTCCAACTTCTGTGTACTTTGGTGTGAGTTCCAGTTTGAGAAAAGAAGGTCTTCAGCCTTTGGCTCTTCCTTTTGCTATTGGGTAACGCAAAGGAATGAAAACTAATCCCAGCTCGTAAGAGTTTCTCGTGCCCTTCGTGCTTTGAAAATATGAGCTAATTCAATCCGTGATTGCCAGGTGTGAGGAAACAGATGTCAGGTTTATCTACAGCCACCTGGCCCGGAACTTGCAGGCAGGCTTTGAACCTCTCCACTTTGCTTGACATCTTCTCCATGACCTCGCTTAAGTGCACACCTACTTGGTACTACCGGACTACAGCCCTTGATTGCCCCGTAGCAGGTCCTGATGGGATCCCTGCCTATGCCACCAAAGGCATTCTCTTGTTGCCTTGACACAGAGTTAGCCTACTAACTTGCTAGTTGTTCCCTGGACTCTGCTGCCTTACTTCTCCCATATGGATTTGTCTGGAGTCCCTTCATTTCTGTCATCACCACCCAAATTCAAACCTATTTCATTTCTAGGTCTCAAATAACTAAGGGACCAGTCTTCAGCCTCCCTTCACTCAACTGCCTCCCACTCAGTCTGTTTTCTGCAGGGAAGGCTTTAGTCTTATGAAGGTGAAGATACTATTAAAACATTACCAACCTGCCCTTTGCACCCACACTGATTTATCCCCATTTCCCACCAACCTGTCCCTTACTATGCAAGGCTATGCAGCTCCCCTGTATCTACTCCAAGAGGGATGGAAATATGTCCATGCATAAACTACATGAATATTCATAGTAGCCTTAGTTACAACTCCCCAGTGGAAATAACCCAATTGTTCATCATCAGATGAATATGTGTTTATACAGTGAAATATTTTTGAACCATAAAATAAAATATTGCAAGTTATATCATGCCCAAATCGAGAAAAACATTTCAGTTTTGAAAGGAGATGTGTTATAATAATGACATGTATAGGAAATGCTTAGAAGAGCTAAGTCCATCAGACAGTAGATTAGTGGCCACTGGTGATGACTACGGGGGAGATGGGGAATTAGGATTAACTTCTAATAGTGATAGGTTCTCTGTGGAGCAAAAGGTTTCTGCATTAGAGGTGCTCACTGAACAGCACATATGATATACAAAACTATGAACAACAAACTTGACAGCAATGACTCTTTTGTATGCTTCAATTAAAAAAAGAATGTTTAAAAGTCAACACTGAAATTGGAACATTCCATTTGTTTGTATGAGAGAGCATTGCATTATCTGTGCATGTGCTTATATACTCTGAAAAAATTTTCTAGAATGATCTTTGATGCCACTTCTGTGGTGGGGTGGAGAACGAGGCTTTTAGTATACCCTAGATTCTCTTTGGCATTGAGTTTATTATTTGGTTGTGGTGTGTGTGTGTGTGTGTTTGTGTATGTGTGTGTGTGTACCATTGTAGGTGGGGGTCAGAGGACAGCTCACAGCAGTCAGTTTATCCTTCCATCATGCAGGTTCTGGCGGTTGAACTCAGGTTATCAGGTTGGGTAGCAGGTGCCTTTAAGCACTGATCCATCTCACTGGCCTTAGTTGATTTGTTTTAGATCACAAGTAGTTTAGAAAATCAATTCTAGATTTAGAAATTATTTTATAGGGAAAATGTTTTGATAGTCTCTTAAAAAAACATGAAATTATCAAGCGATCTTAGAGTTTTAGGTGCAGACTCAAAAGAGCTGAATGCAGGGGCTTGGGTGGATGTGGTGATATTTTGTTTGTGCTTTAACAAATAAAGCTTTCCTGAAGATCAGAGTGCAGAACTAGCCACACTAGTTAGCCATAGAGGCCAGGAAGTGTGACACAGGCCTTCAATCCCAGCACTTAGGAGACAGAGGCAGACCAATCTCTGTGAGTTCAAGGACACCCTGGGCTAAGTGAGGTTGAATCAGTCTAAAAGAGAAACAGAGCCAAGTGGTGGTGGTTCACACCTTTACTCCCAGCACTAGAGTGGTGGAGACAGGAAGTGGTATGGCTGGGCAGAGAGGGGAATATAAAGCAGGAGGATACAGGAGCTCAGGATTCAGTCTGAGGTTTCGTAGAGACAGCGTTTGGTCTGAGGGTTTGTAGAGACAGGATACCTCATTAGGTCTGAGGATTTCATAGAGGTAAGAACTAGTGGCTGGCCGCTCTGCTTCTCTGATCTTTCAGCTTTCACCCCCAATATCTGACCCTGGGTTTTTATTATTAAGACCAATTAGAACTTGTGCTACAGGTAGACACATGCACACCTGTGCTCACACCAACATTCATAGTGGCCGAATAGCTAAGCAAATGTGGTCCTCTATGCAATGCAGTCTTGCTCAGGCTAGCACGGAAGGGCATCCTGCTATATGCTGTCATGGGGTTGGACCCAAGGACTTGACACTGGCTGAGTGAGCTGGCAAGCACTATGTGACACTGCATTTGTGAGGCCTCTGGAGCACAGAATACATAGGAAGGCAGTAGGGAGGGGACAGTATCAGCTTGGGGCAATGACAAGCTCCTAGACCTGGGTAGTGGCGACTGCTGTATTGCACCCTGGAGTGCTTTGGATCACTGCGCTGCACCCTGGAATGTGTTTGGAGTGGTAACTTTGTTATGCATGTTTTACTACAATAATAGATGAAAGAAAATGTTCTGGAAAGCAGCAGCTAGCATGTGGACGTTATTCTATGTTCTCTGCTGTTTTAAGAGTGTCTCAGTAACTTTTAGGATGTCTATTATGGGGTGCGTTCAGCCTCCTGGGTTTGCAAGGAGCCATCTTACTGATCCTGCACTGCTCACTCTCCTCTGGGTCTCTAGGCCTCCTGAGCCAGGTCTTCTGCTGCCATCCCTTCCAGGTTGTGGTGCCTTTCGGATCCTGGCTCCATCAAGGATCAGGGAAGCCACTCTGGTTTTCAGGTGGACATAGGACATGCTGTTGTTGCATTTTGTAAGGATCTCCCCTGGAGTACAATTAGGCTGAGGAGGAAGTCAAGGGACTACATAGAGGCCACTGAGCAAAACTGGCCTCACAAGCAACAGAGGAGGCCAGTCAGCACAGTGTGGCACTAGGGGCTGCTTGTTGGGGTTTCTGTCCTGCCCAGTTTTCACAGCTGGCAAATCCCAAAGAAAATCACACAGAGGTCTCCATAAGTTATAAACTCATTGGCCCACTAGCTCAGGCTTCATATTAGCTCTTATAACTCATATTAACACATGATTCTTATCTATGTTAGCCACATGGCTCGGTACCTTTTTCAGCAGAGCAGGTCACATCTTGCTTCTTCTGTGATCTGAGAAGGACTGGGGAAAGAGCTTCCTTCTTCCCAGAATACTCCTATTCTCATTGCCCCACCTCTACTTCCTGTCTGGCTACCAGCCAATAAGCATTTATTTAAAATATAATTGATAGAATATAGAACTGTCCCACACCAGCACAGGGTCCTTTCCACACCACTGAGCCCTGACTATCCACACTGCTGTGTTGGTGGACACTTTTCAGAAGCTCTCCACAAGATTGTGGCTTGTTGTTTTTGAATGCTACCATATGTATTTACTTATTTTAGATGTGTGTGTGTGTGTGGTGTATACTAAGTGTGTATGTGTACTAAGGATGTGTTCTACCACTGAGCCTCCCCCAGCCTTTTATAAAGACTGCATTTTTATAAGCAAACATGTTCCTGGCTTTTAGGAGAAAAATAGAATCGACCCAGCCTAAACCAGGTATATTTGTAATTATAATCTCATTATATTTCAGTTATACTTCTATGAGCTAGAACTAAATTTACTTTATATGAATTAAACCGTCAAATTTTACAATTCAATTTCCTGTCACACATGCCACATCCGAATAATGAATATGTCACATGAGGTATCCATTCTACAGAAGACGTGGGCTAGCAGCTTGTGTTGACTGTTGCCTACCGTACCCTTCACACTGCAGGGAAGTTCCTCTACAGGGAAGGACTGGGGTTCTGCATGACAACAGTGCACACATATTAGGTCTGTGGGTAGAGGGGGCTGCTCCAGTGCCATCCCCTGTCTGATCCTCTGCTGTGATACCACATAGAGGATAAAAAAAAAAAAAAACCAAGATTATATCCCAACAGAGATCTAGGTATCATGGCTTTGCTGGGCATATTTGGAAACTTTAGGCTCAGAGACTCTGATCTCTCAATGAAGGATGTCTGGCTTCACACCTACTTTTCAATGTAGGAAAATTCTTGTTTTATGCAAGAAATATAGACCAAGCTACAAGAAAGCAAGTTTTAACCTCTGCTATGGCTCAGCTTATTCAAAAGGGTGTTGGGAAGTGGTGGAACTTTAGGAGGCAGAGCTGGTGGTAGGTCTTTGGGTTATTCGGGACATGCCCTTCGGGGGCTGTAGGACTTGGGTCCAAACTTTCCTTCTTTGCTTCCTGGCTCATAGTGTAAGCATTCTGTTCTGTCATGTGCTCCCTGCCATTGCCATTGCTGTCAGAGCAAGATCACTTTTTGATCTTGGGTGGGGACCTCCAGAAGTGTCAGCCACACACCCTTTTCTCTTTGTATATTAATTGCCTTGCATATTTGATTACAGTAACATCTTTAATAAAGCATCTTTTTGTGTTTGTATCAGACTGAATTACATTTTCCTAAGACTCGGTGTCTCCTTAAGTCTAAATAACTGCACAGGGAAGCCATTGGTTACATTTGACAGTGAAGTAGGACCACCAAACCCAAATCTCTCAGTTCTGCTCCCACAGTGAGCATCATGGTCTATCCTGGACGGGAGTTGCTGGAGGACCCTGATGTCCTCCGTATGGCACTCTGGGGAAGACAAAGGGTTCCTTCTGTCTGGTCTTATATCAGTATGAGTGAAACCTGACAGACAGTCTCATAGAAGCACAACTTTTCTGGAGCCAGGCCAGTCTTTCTCTTCCTTTTCTCTCATC